AGCTTAATTCCCTATATGGGAAATTCGCTAAAAGTGTACATTCCTCTAGAAAAACCAATAACAAGAATGATAATAATACGTTGCTAAGACAACATCAGCTGACGCTACAGCTCAACAGTCATCACTAATTCTCCTACTTATACCTAGGAAAGTGAAATTTGATACACTTAATCTTTAGACATTAAATAGAAAAACTAAGTAGTTTTAATTCTGATCTGACCCTAAGACTCTGCCCCACCAGCTCTGAAGTTTAAAATTTTAACGTTATGAGTATAATTAATGAATTTGAACGACATTGTTCTATTTGAACATCAACAAAAGCTATTCATCGATTCATTGTATTAACTACTAACCGTACCACTTATTAACAATAAAACTGGTCTTAACAGCTAATTAGTTGAAGTTCGGTGAATAATAGTTTTACTTATTTTCTATCAATCCTCGACCTTCATTAGTCCTTTACTCATGTTGTTAAGTAAAAGAATGCTGTTAAGTAAGTAAACAATGTTGTTAAGTGAATCTTTTCAATTCTAAAAAGTAAACTGCAACGGCTAGTGTAAACAATGATCATGGGTAAACAAACGTATAATAATTAAAAACCTTTGATTTCCATAAACTTTGTGATGAACTATTAGACATTGGTGTTCTAGACGTTGTGTAGGTTGGTACGTTGTCCGCTAAATATAAAACCCTATCCACAATATAATGTCTCAGAACATAATACTAACATATACCCATGATTTTTTTAGATAACATAGTTTATTAAATGAACACTTCTCAGGTCATTTGGTAATTAGTCCGTTTTTTATGTTTGTTGATCAGAGAACTTAACTTTGTAAATAATGTACTAATTATTTAAGTTTTCACAGGTACAGTGTTACCGAAGCGTATATCCATAAAATACACAATAAGCTATCAAAAGCAGATCGTGCTATAACTATAACTATCGTGCAGGAACATGCACTTTTACAATGCCACAAGGTGCTTTAGGCATTTAATAGTGCTCAAAATCGTCTCTAAGTCACCCTGTCGCTCAAAATCAAACCAACACATCAATACACATGTTTCAAATAAGTAAAATAAATAAATAAAAAATAACGTCTTTATTTATCCAGCGTACATCAGATACAAAGTTCTGTTTGACATGCATTTTTTTTATCATATACAAGTAAATTAAAAACAACATTCTTAAAACAAAATAAAACTAAAGGAGCATATCTTCAACACTCTTCTTAAATACCATTAATCCTTTTTCTTTCACTCCTGATGGTAAATCATTGTAAACCAGGGGTCCAAAGTAGGATAAGACGCTTTTTCCCCGACTCAGTTCTGACCCGCGGTAACTGCAACAACCCTTCCTGAGTACTGCGCTCACAGACTTCAGATCTTCGTACCAACTTGGTATTCAGATACTGAGGCTGATTTGTCAGCAGTGTCTTGTGAACCAAAACTGATGGTTGGACATCAGAGATTTGCTGTATAATTAATGTACCGTATAACCTTATTTGTAAGGTTATACAATATACTTGTTATCCTTTTAGATCACTGTATTATGCAAATAACCCTACCCAACCCCATACACCCCCCACCCCGTCCACACCTGCTCTGATCCACATACACACCACCTGCTCTTCCCTCCCGAATTTACTCCCATAAGACACCATATAAACTCCCGGAGTAGGAACGCCATTTCTAACCTACTGAAGTCACTCCAGGTGATTATACTATCAAATGAAGGGGTTTCTTCCAATACTTTGCGCATAATTTTGTACACAGCACTTGCTATGTCGTTTTACTGTTCCGCTGAAGTTGAAGCCCCTACTTTCCTCTTTCACCTAAGAGCAAAGACTTTGGATTGACTTTTGGGGTTTACGAAGATCCCTGTTTCGTCATCGTAGAAAATTTGTCCGCTTGTCGTTTGTGCTCATTAATGGTCTATGCTAGAAGAAAAAAAACTGTAAAAAAATCAATTTTATAGAATCCCATTGCTCTTGCACCTGATGTGTTTTCTGGTGTTCGGATACTTAGAGTTGATCATGGATATCCATCGATAAAACCTTTTAACACATCCTCTAAATCACTAGTGTATTCTAATCTCCGATTTAATCCGTTTCGTTCATCTAGATTGTAGTATAACGATCTTAAATATTTCATAGCTAGGCAAAAATTCCTACCCTCCATTGACTTATGGTATTGTACCAGTTCAGATTCTTGGTTATCAGTAAACACATCTTGAATTTCCCTTCGGACTTGTCAACTTTGTACCTAGGGTGGCTATGTTATACGAGAATTGCTGCGATGATAAAACGCTCAGGCTGATCAAATAAAACTGAGCTCCTATACGAGCGAGAAAAACGCCGCGACAGGTACCGAGGGTCCAAAAGCTGACAAAAGCATTTCAGTAATTAAAAATACAATATATTGTAAATATTGGTTTTACTAGTTATTTTAATAACTCGTAACCAGTAATCAAATTCCAGTCCATAAAATCATTATGTTCAATAAAAAAAGTAATATTAAAACTAAATAGGCTAACTTACAAAAGTAATACTCTTTTACTTCGTTTCCCATATAGTCCATTAGTTGTACAGGTTTCTGGAAAAAATAAAGTAACTAGATTTTAATAGCTGGAAACGTTTTGCTTTTGATCAATAATGCGATACAACACAATTAAAATGTCTTAACCTCTTTGTCCACTCCAATTCTTGACAAATCTCCTGCTGCCATGTGAAAAAACTGACTATAGCAAAGGTGAACGGTTGCGAGTCCCTTAATTTGATATTCCGTTTTTGTGCATAACCTAAACATCTTGATGAGATATGAAAGCACTGACATTCTGTTCCACGCTAGGATAACTGCAGGTAAAAGGGTTGTACTAAAGTCTGTGACGATGTGGCTAAAGATCCGCTTGCTTTCAAAGTTCTTTTTTTGAAACTGCACAAACTGAATGAAAAAAGATGTAATAGATGCGACGTAATGCTGGCATCTAATGAAGTCCATGACAGGTAAAGTTTTCCTCTTACCTTAACGCACCCAGAATAATAGTATACCGTCTTTTTGTCGTATTCTTGTTGTTCTCACCCTCAGCGGTAACGCGGTGAAATGCCGCTCAATTAGGCTTACTCCTCGCTTCTTGTCTCTATGGGTAGCTCTTGAGTGAGTCTTGGGTGGGTAATCTCTTGTTGAAGTGATTTCTTAATTTCTAAAATTCCAAAAAGTCTACATATAGAGGTAACACAAATATTTTTTTTAGTTATATATAAAAATCAAGACCACATGTCAACAGTGCTCTGCACCTTTTTCCAATAAAACAACCTGGTTCGCCACTACAAGTTAATACATCAAATAAAAGGCAAAACTGTGCAAAGTTTGTGATTTAATCTGTGATAGCAACATGGCTCTAAAATCGCTTATATTACAAAGTCATAAGATTTGTAATTTCTTTAAAACAAATGTTGTTGGACATTTTAAGGTACACGTCAATTCTTGCCACAATTGTCCATATACAATGATTAAATTTGTTGGTGAATCGATTAGAACTGTACTTAAAAAAACTCTTCAGTCTTGTCCCCTGCCAATAAAATGACTTTAGTAAGGAGAATCAAATTTATAAAATTAACCCTGTACTGCATCGTGGATCATTTATGATCCAACCATGTCTTATATTTTTTGGTTAAAAAATTGTTTGTCAATCTTTAATGCATGGCAAACCATATCTGGTACATCCAACAGCTGGTATAACCTTCAAAAATGCCCACTAGACTGCAGCACAGTATTTCTTCATCCCAAATTGCAAATGGCGGCATAACCAACAACTGTTTCACAATTTTCCTTGTTTTGAAGATTGATAATAGAGTGATTATCGATTCCTGATGGAAACCAATGTTTGATTCATGTTCCCTAAGGTATGTAGTTACATTTTACTATGTTTAAACCTACAAATTTATTAGTTACCTAGGAGATAATTACCAATTTTTAAATGGTCCACATATGGAACACCATGCAGTTAGTGTGTAACTTATAATTTTTTGAATGGACCATATATGTACCACTGTGCATTTAAGTTTTTCATTTCATTTTTTTTTAATTGAGCCATATATGTTCCACTATGAATTTAAGGCTACCGGTGCTAATTTTTAAACACAACTTTTCATAAATAGTAATAGGCCTACTAAAGATGTTTTATTACACATAAGCTAATTTATATGTTTTCTTTTCAGATTATGGATGAAATTTTGACCGACTCTCAGATAGAGGCATTGATTCCCCTCTCCGATTGCAGTATAGACCTGGATGATGTGGACGCTGACCCAGATTTCATTCTCAGCAGTGACGAGGATGGTGAATGTCGTAAAAAGGGACCTTGTCTTCCTGTTTTTTTCAAGACCCGACCCATCGGCTTTAGAATCATCAAGTGATGAAGAACCTGAAGAAGTATTACCGTCTAGTAGCACATTGCCAACTGAACACTTACAACTACCTGAAAGCCCTCAGCCACCTGAAAGAAGCCCTCAGCCTAGTACTTCTGGTGTTTCAAAAAAACAATCTAAATGTAAAACTGGAGGAAAAAAATATAAAACAGTTGGAAAAAAGACAAAACAAGTAAGAGCGAAAAAAACAGGAAAAACCAAGAGCAAGAAAAAAGGATAACAAAAGACTAAGAATAAAAAGGACAAGCCTAAGATACCTTGGGTGCATGCTAGCATCTTAAGTAAGAAAATTCCTTTTGACAAGGAAAATAAAAAGTTGTCGGAAGACATCATGACACTAGATACCCCTTATGCTTTTTTAAATACTTCTTCAACGATACTCTTATGAGAAATATTACGCAAGAATCAAACTTATATTTAGTACAACAAGATCCAAACACCAATAAGAGTGTGACTTTGCTAGAACTTCAAAAGTTTTTAGGAATATTAATAATGATGTCAATTGTTAGGTTACCGAATGTTCGTAACTACTGGAAAGATAGTATTGGAAACCAAACTATAATAGAAACAATGGGAGTCAACAAATCCGAGTTCATAAGGAGTATACTTCACTTCAGTGATAATCACAAAGCTATTCCAAGAGGTCAGCCAGGACACGATCGTCTTTATAAATTGAGACCTGTTGTGGAGGAGTTGAGATCGAAATTCAAATCGGTTGCACTGGAACAAAAGCTATGTGTTGATGAGCAAATGTGTGCAACCAAGGCAAAGAACTATCTTAGGCAGTACCTACCGAAAAAACCCCACAAATGGGGGTACAAGATTTACGTTTTGAGTGGAGTTAGTGGCTTTGCTTATGATTTTGAAATATATACTGGTCAAGGAAACGACGAAACCCTTAGACTTCCAGGTGAGCCTGATCTTGGGTCATGTGCCAATGTGGTAGTACGTCTAACTCGATGTGTTTCACCACAAAATCATCAAATATATTTTGACAATTTTTATACCTCTCTGCCACTTATTGTGCATCTAGCGAAGAAGAATATACATGCATTGGGAACAGTCAGAAGGGACAGAATACCAGGAAACAAACTCCCATCGGAAACGGAACTAAAAGAAAAAGAACGGGGTTTCTCAGCTGAAAATTGTGTTCAAGTAGATGATGTTGAAGTGTATTGTGTTGTCTGGAAAGACAACAAGTCTGTAACTTTACTGTCCTCCTTTGTAGGTATTGGTAAACAAGAGCAAGTTGACAGGTTTTGCAAGAAGAAAAAAGTCATCCAGAAGGTAAACTGCCCTCAAGTTGTAAAATCCTACAACCAACACATGGGAGGAGTGGACAAAATTAACTCTATTATTGGAAGGTACAAAATTAGAATGAAAACTAGAAAATGGTACCTTAGACTTTTCTACCATTTGTTGGATGTAACAATGTGCAATAGCTGGTTGTTATATCAAAGAGTCTGTAGGGACAGGGGTGATATCAATATAATGCCTCTTGCAGAATTTAGAGAATCTGTCGCTATTACAATGTGCAGATTAGGGTCAAATATTACTCCAAAGCGAGGAAGACCAAGCACAGAGCTAGATGTCGCTCTCCTAACCAAGTCTAAGAAGCCTCATGTTTCTGCTCTTCCACCCAAAGAAGTGAGAAAAGACCAAACAGGGCATTGGCCAATCTGGAACAACAACAGACTAAGATGCAAGTTACCTGACTGTGAGAGCAGAAGTTATGTGAATTGTTCCAAGTGTAACCTTACCTTGTGCCTCAATAAAGACAAAAACTGCTTCTACAAGTTCCATAACCAGTAAATGTGACAAGGGACGAAACTCATTGTTTTAGAGAAGTATCAATGCGCTTTTTTACAAAACCGTTTTATTGTCAAATTAGAGTAAACATGACTTTTTTTGCTTTTTGCCATTTATAATGCAAAGTTTACCATAGGTTAGGTTATTACTTGGTTTTCAATAAAAGAAAAATTCAAATCTGTGTTATTTTTCCAGATTTCCTTGTATCTAGATTTTTTAGTCATTGATAATTTAAATGCATCATGTGCCATATTTGGACCAACAATAAATTAGACATTTTTACCGCCAGTGTATAAAGCGCCTTAAATGAGCCAATTAAAAAAATGTAAAAATAATGAATAATATTGAAGATACATTTTTTTGACTATTTTTCCTGTTATAACTGCCCTATGGGGATTACAAAAATAATTTTTTTAACTCATTTGAAAAAATTATGCAGTATAGGGTTTTAACACTAGATTAGAATGGAAAATTAATTAATGAAAAAAGTTATTGCAGATTTTAGAAGCCGTACCACCCTCACCATTGAGAAAATAGATTTAATACCTCAAATTGAAAATGCTCTTTTAAAGATTGACGCATCCATGCACAAATATCAAGCCCAAGGCAACGACCATACTCCATCTGGATTCACGTTTTTGTAGTGAGAGATTCTACAATTGGACAGACACATTTTAGAAGTTCATTTAAAATATGATAAAAGCTTACGTGATTTACATAATGACTATCCATTAGCTCAAGAGAAAATGAATGGCAAATTAATACCTAATTTTAAATGACAAAACTAAATATATTTTACATTATTAAGCATTACAAACATATGGGGAATTAATTGGGTTTGGTTGTTACAAAATACCACAGAATTTTAAAATTTAGACAATCGAAATGGCTTGCGCCGTATATTAATTTTGATATTGAAAAACGAAAATTGCGTTAAAAATGATTTCGATAAAGACTTTAATTGTTAAATAATAGTCTCTTTGGTCGAACAATCATGAATCAACGCAAGTTTCGTGATATATATCTCAAGGATGAGTCACTATTAACAAAATGTGTCTCTAATCCAAGGTTTGACTGTAGCAAAAAGTTTGATAACAATTTACATGCTATACATTCAAATAAACTAGTTGTACAGTTTAATAAACCAATATATTTAGCCATGACCATTTTGGATTTAGTAAAGTAATGATGTACGATTTTTACTAAAACTATACAGTAGGACAAAGTTTAAGAACAAAACATTTCTAATGACAGATACAGATTCTTTAATGTATTCTATAGTTACAGAGAAATATAACGTGACTTGCATCATTTTGATACCTCTGGATATAGTAAGGACCATTTCTTATACTTTGAAATAAATAAAAAAGTCACTGGTAAGTTTAAAGACGAATTAGATGGTTATGTATGAATATTGTGGTTTAAGATCAAAGTTATATTCTTACATTTCTCTAAAATGGTTATATGAAGAAGACAAGCAAGCTTTGGAGGTGAAGAAAGCTAAAGGAGCCGATGGTGCCACTGTTTAACATCTCCTTAGACATCAACATTATTTGAACCATCGTACAACTGGGCAAGATTACTATGAGAATGTCACAAGAAATAAATCTACGAACCATCATCTTCAAACCTTAACGATGAATAAAAAAGCACTATCCTTTGACGAAGACAAGAGGTTTATTCTAGAAGAAGGCATAAACATCCTTGCTCTTGGTCATTATTTAATTGATCAAACATAGCTAGGACTGCAAGGATCAATTGTAGCGTAGATGATTGTTTATAAATGCTGCGAAATAAATACAAATTTTATAAACATTAGTCTTTCAATTATTTACCATTTCCATCCTCTTGATAAAATTGATCAATCTATATTTACTTTACTCATTATTATTTGACCTTTTTTATATTATGAAAAGCCATATTTAGTTTTATCCCAACATTGGTGACAGAGATTTTTAAATTGGTCAAATGAAAATTAATACCAACATGATTGTGATATACATGTTTTAAACTTAAATCATCTTGTTTGAATAATATTAGGAAATTTACATTATCACGTAAATGTCTGTGTACTTTGCTGTAAGATTGACACAAGTCAAAACAGTTAATATTTTTGTGGCGACCCATTGGGAAAAATTAATGTATGATATTTGGGCTATTTATGTCATAAAATAAAACAACTGACTGTGATTCGACATCATTTGGTGTAATTTCACAGTCAGTAAACGTGTGTAATTTCACTTCGTCACACAAATTAAATATTTCAATTATTTTTTTTAATTTATTATATTCTAAAGAGTTAGATATTAAATATAAGTTTGTAAATTTTAATCCTTCCTTTCTCACAATTCCGTCTTTCCACTTCCACTTGTGCCACAAATAACACATCGAATATTGGTAGGAAATAGACCCAACTCTTTTGGTATATTTCTTTCTGTTAAATTAAAGACATTTTTTATTTATATAATAAAAATGGTGAGAAATTATAACAACACATGTAAAAAGGTCAAAGGTATATTCTTAAAGCCCTACAGGAGTCGGGGGTTATTGAATACTCTTATAAATAACCTTCCATTCTCACTTCACGTGCAACCATATCGTAATTTCACAGTCAGTAAACGTGTGTAATTTCACTTCGTCATACAAATTAAATATTTCAATTATTTTTTTTAAATTTATTATATTCTAAAGAGTTAGATATTAAATATAAGTTTGTAAATTTTAATCCTTCCTTTCTTACAATTCAGTCTTTCCACTTCCACTTGTGCCACAAATAACACATCGAATATTGGTAGGAAATAGACCCAACTCTTTTGGTATATTTTGCAACGCACTAGACCCTTAACCTAACCTAACCAGGTTCGGCCCATGGCTGCCCAACCGCCATAAGCAGTCACAAAGCTCCGGAGGTGATTAAACAACACAGAAATAACAAAATACCATTTAATTTCAGTCAAAATATATATATATACAAGTACAATTACAAACCATTACAAGTAGCCCACTCAATATTTGTTGGTAAAAAATTAATAAATTCAAGTACCTACATAAAAATTACAAAATGATATTAAAAGGTTAGGCCTACAAAATGGGTGAATAGTTCACCTTAAACAGTTGAACGATTAACGATCGAGCGTAAGTCGTGACATGATAATTTACAAAGTCAAAATAGACAAGATTTCAAAAGAAATATTTTTTTTTAATTTCTATCAGAACCTAACTTTACCTAAATTTAGAATGAGAGGCCGAATAAGTAAAAAATTAGAGACAAAGATTAACCAATTGTGCCCACTGGCCGGTCAAGAAAACTGAAATAAATTCTAACTAGGCTAGGCCGAGTAGCAAAAATAATTACACTAAGTTTAAATTACAAAGAAACTGCTGACACATAAAAGAATTAATTGATTGGTGCTAAAAAGGTAGACATTGGATTATTGTGACAATTGAGGCTGGACCGAGGATGTCCCTCACACTATTTAACAGTTTGACGAGTAGAACGGAACGTAGCAAAATGGAGTTGAAATTTTTAATTCAGCTAGTAACTGAGTCTGTAATAGGCCAGAGTAATAATGGAACAACACCACCTGGCATAACTGTAGGATGGTCACAGTAGGTAGGCTTCCACCGATGACAAGCTGCGATGTGGCGCAGCATGGATCACCAATATGATAGACAGCCCAAACTCCGGCAGCGGTGTCCAAATGCCGGCAGCGGTAGCTTTTTACATGGTCAGCAGGATGTGTGTGTGTGTGGTCCTCGGTCCTCTCTTCATGGCCTCATCACGGGTCTCAGATCAGGCTGGTGTCAGTCATAGCCCGGGAGCCCACAACTGAAAATAAAACTTTAACATTGTGGCAACACGTGGTAAACCTGGCAGTGTGTGGAGCAACAGAAAAAAAAAACTAACTCAATTGATTAATTAACGATGAAAATCACTTACCCAACATAATTAATTCACGAAGACATACTTAGTAGCTCGCCCCTTTGATGAAACCGAACAATACTTGAAGACAACATAGTAACTGGCATTACCACTAATCAAAATCCACAATACGGAGAAAAGGTGGCGAGTCGTAGACGTAACCCAAGAAGACTGACAGTAGCCGACAACCCAAAACGGCCCCACAAAACCGGAAAACTGGAACGTTGGAACGTTCGAGAACCTTCTAGAAGCTCAACGGCCTGCGAATGAAACAAGCGGACACTTCCGCCTTAAAAAAACCTATATATGTAATAGAAAACCTGAGCCGTCAACTCGCACGGCTCAATTTCTATTTTTTATTTATATAATAAAATGGTGAGAAATTATAATAACACATGTAAAAAGGTCAAAGGTTTATTCTTAAAGCCCTACAGGAGTCGGGGGTTATTGAATACTCTTATAAATAACGTTCCATTCTCACTTCACGTGCAACCATATCGTTATTGTGGACCTGGAACTAAAATATGTGAAAATTTAGCCAAAAATATATCTCTAAAAATAAGTTAGACTCTTATTGTACACAGCATGACATATTCTACATGAATAATCCCGATACCGTGGGAATAAAGAGATTATCAGACTTAACTTAGACTAGAGTTACTCCCAACGATGCAAATGTCGCTGAAAAAGTAGCAGCTTATGCCGTGACAAATTTGATGAAAGCAAAATCAAAATGGGAATTGGATTTAAATTTAATAAAAATCAAAGACAACTACCAACTGTTAGAGGCCGCAAAAGACGTGCCTCATTTCCGAGGGGTGTACCTTAAAAAACGTACTAAAAATCTGACACCAAAAGAAAAAGATTACGGAATAGTTAATTAAGATAGCTCATCTTTCACACATTAGACAGCATATCGAAAAAATAAAGATATTGTAATTTATTTTGATCCATTTGGAATCCAACCTCCAAAAGAAGTAATTAAATATTTTGAGGGATGCGAAATATAATACAACCGATCAAATAAGGATTTAAATAATTTCATTTGTGGAATTTTACAATTTATCATTTATATATTCTT